TTAGATAAAATTTGATCGTCACTCTTTTTAATTAGTGAAAAGATTGAGTATTGTTCCAATTAGAAACTTGTGGAGAGTCATCGCAAACCAATAAATCAATCAGTTTTCGAGGGACTGGAAGGACGTGGGGAGCGCGGATGATGAGATTATCATCTCTGCGTTTTCGCATTCAGCAGCTCACAGCAAGATGGCGGCGAGCCCCCCTTCGTTCATTTGTATGGCGCGCGGTCATCTTGCAGTGGACATGCCGGCCTCGCTTCAAGAGTGCCGTCGCCGCTCCGACGAGTCTTTATATATCCTCCTTGGATATAATAAAAAAATATCCGGATGAACAAACCGTCGTGGTCCAACGGAATCCCGTACAAAAGTTCCATATATGTCCGTATTAAGAATTGAACCAATCAGGTCATATATGCACATATACTTATATAATATCACTGCATATGATCTTATGATTGGTGGCAGCTATTAAAAACCGTTTGCTCTACTGACGTTTAACTCCTAGTCAGCTCAGTTGGTAGAGCGCTCCACTCGAAATGGAGAGGTCCCTGGTTCGATACCTGGACCAGGCGGATTTTTTCAGCCGCGCACCAGTCACCTCAGCTGTGTGTAGAGATTTATGTTTCTCCTTTGTTCCCCTTGTTCCTCTAGTCCAGGGATTATTATTGTTTTGTGATACAACCTAACTTGCCCTAATTTTGATGTGGCCATATACGCCATTTATGTACGGAATAAAGGGTACGAAGCCGCCGAAAGACAAAATCTCTGGAGGCGTTGGGATTCCAACTCCGGTTCTCTTAATCGCCGGTCGGGTAGTTGCGAGACCGGTGCTTCGGAAACCCGGAGTTCAAACCCCGACGCCGCCAAAAGTTTTGTCTTGCGGCCGCTTCGTAACCTTTATTCCGTTCGATCAGTACGGTTCCTTCGTCCGCATGCTTTCGTTCAGTTCCTCTTTGAACACCGCGTAAAATAATGAAAACGCTCCTTGGAAATCTAAAGAAATTAGCAGCGACCTTCACATTCAAAATTCTTTAACGCATGAAGCGCATCTTCGGGAATTGGCGAGGGAATCGGTGAGGGAATGTTTTCACGTGACGTATATTTTTCTGTTAAATTTTGCGGAAAAACTGGATTAGTGTCTAGGTCACAATACCAGAATTGTCCCGCTAAATTTAGCGGGTAACTGAATCGGTGTATAGATCACGTGACGTCAAAAGAGAGTTTTCGTAGGCCGCGTTCTCCGTAACCCGCTAAGATACCCGGAACTCTACAGTCAAAGCCATCGGCGCGCAGGCGCAGTAGGGGCTTCTTCGTTGCGAAGGGAGGACTTAGCGGAGGGGAAAACGCGGTCCACGAAAACTCCCTATCTTGGGATATCGGGGGCGGGGTAGCGTTAAAAAAGCTTTTCGTGCTTTAATAATCCCGTAGGTCGCCGGACATTCCCGCGGCACTGGGCTGGCTCCGATGGCTCGTACGGCGTCCCCCTGTGGTCCACCGTACGCCCGAGACGGAGTGCGCGGTGCACGACGGCGACGCGGCACTCCCCGGGCGCTTGGCCCCGTTTTCTTGAAACGGCGGTTTGGCAACGTGAAGCGCGCACGAGTCGAGTTTCGAAGCGACTTGGGAGATGATTACGGCGTGACCCCGCAGCGCGACCCGCTCCCGTTTGCTTTCATTATCCCCGGAGCCATTATCCTATTAGCGGAGGCGAAGAAAGGAAAGTATTGCGCGTAGCTGTCTACCGGCACGGGGCCTCCCTTCCTTCCTGCCCGCTCGCGATCGCTCCAAGAGATGATTAAGGTGTACGCGATTATGAATTCTTATCCGCTTTTTTTCCCCCTTTCTCTCATGTTGGTTAGGTTACAGCAGGAAGTGGCAGCTAGGTTTCTTGTGTGGTATACACCCTGGGGATGACGCAGTTACCGCGAACGCAACACTGGCGCTTTGTGTATTTTTCTCACACAGGGTATACTTGCAAAGGGATCTCAAAAGTTAGAAAGGAAGACAGCGTTTTGCATATAGAATATTCAGCTGCTCCCGGATACAATTTAAATGTCCATTACCGAAACATCGGTCCAGAAGCATTGAAACTTTGAAGCTTCCGGGGTGCTCTGCTGAATTCGAATAAAATTCTTCCCGGCATCGACTACCTTTGTGTCAATTGTGTGCAGTCTACAAAGGATCCTGACGAACACCAGATTTTAGTCTAGGCCGACGCCCATCAGGAACACATGTCCCACCAGACTGCCCGTTTTCACTTTTGACGAGAAACTTTCACTCGTGAAAAACGATTATCGGCGATAGCTACATTCAAAATGCAGTAAGTGCCAGGGTCCTAGGACACACCACGGAAAACTCAGTGCTTCACAGTAAATCGTAGCTTATATTCGGCTTTTCTTTTTGTATCTTTATCATTCGCTTGTCTCCGGCCAGAGATCGCGCTGGTGATCGACTTCACTCCCCGTCGCGCTCCCCGAGGAAATAGAGACGGGTATTCTTCCAAGTGGCAGATCGCGAGACACCGCACCACGTCGTCGCCCCAAAAACAGCAACGTCGATAAGAAGAACAAAGGACCCGAGCGTCTTTCCTGGTGCCCCCCGGACACGTCCGCGCTCCTGCGGACAAACGGCGTCCGACGGGCAACGCGGGAGGTCGACTAGGACGCATAAGCGTCTCGCCTCGCAGCATCGTAAACTCGCGGAGGGCTTTTCGGGGGTGTCCGCGGCGGCTGTGGCGCCGTTCGATCCGATGCATCGCCCAGATCCGCCTCTGGAAAGACAGATCTCCCCCTCCTTCTTTCCTCGGCCATAAAACATGGCTGTACGCCTATAGGGCCCTCCGCGAGTAGCGATCCCCCCCAACTTGTCCACGCGGAGGGAAGCCATAAAGGGGAACTTCTTACAAAAGCGTGGCGCGTTAGAAGGACGAGGAAGAAGAAACGAGAAGGCGTAATAGCAAAACGCAATCATTGACCTCTTGAGCTTCTGGCACCGTCAGCGTTGCATCGCTTCAAACCGCCTCGAGATCGTTGAGGGTACCAGGAGTAGAAGACGTGTGCTCGTTCTAGAAAAGCGGAGAACGTGTGTACCATGATCTCCGTCGGCGATCTGTTCCGATCCCAGCCCCGTTTGGCCCGGATTCCAGGAGGTCGCTCTTAGAATTCGTTTTGACCATAAAGCGCTTGTAAAATTGCATAAAGGTGGCTTCGACGTACACCTCCCGGAAAACTTGAGGTTCAAGAAAGAAAGAAAAAAAAATCAAGAGGCAGGGGTTAGGGATCAGCAGTTCAACGGAATATGGGACAAACATATACCGGGTACATAGAAACGAGATTCCCATTTGTGTTACTCCCAACACTTCCTCCTCTAAAAATGAATATAAAAAAAAAAGAAAAAGTGCGAGTCAAATTGGAAAGAGCACGACATTGCTGAAGAGCGCGCTTCGATCGGCAAGTCTAATTGACTCCGGGTAACTTATTGGCCCTCGGACGATTAATCTGAAGGAAACGCTGGCGCAGGAATGAACGGACAGATATTGTCGCAAAGCGTAGGGACACCCAAGAGCGGCCTGACCTTGATGTGAGCCCGAAGCTACGCTGCTGTTGCGCATAAATGTTTTTTTGTTTGATAAAGCGCGGAGGAGGACGTCAAGGATTGTTCGTGTTGGCGTACCCCGAGTATGCGAACGGCCATGGAAAGAAATGGTTTCTGTTCTCGAATCCGGCTCTTGGAGCAGAAAATCGGGAAAAGAAAACCACGCGTGAAAAATAGTCCGCGGCTTGCGTCAAGGCGAGTTTAGAACTTCGAGTCGGTTCGTACCTCTCAGGAGCCTTAAGTTTCTCTCCGCAGTTCGGAAAGTCGTTGCCTCGTGCCTGTTTCTTTTAAGGCATTCAATTTTGTTTTGTTGTTTATTACTCTTTTTGTTGGGTAATGGCGCACCCAGCTTTAGAAGCGCATGGACTAACATCTTATATAGTGCGTATACCTTCACGCTTGCCCGTTCTACATCGTGACGTCACGCTGATTCAACAGCGTCTGGCCACAGTGATCAAAGAACGGACGAAACGGCTGGGACTCCACTCCGTTCACCCCTAAACTGACGGTCCGGTGGAAACTTCGTGTCCGTTTGAACAGTTATGCGTCTATATATCGCCACGCGGTCACGCTCCCACCCATACCCTCGTACAGGGAGCGGTGAAAGGAAGGCGTTTGATTGGTCCGGCAAGCGCGTAGCTCCCACTGCACTGTCGGTGTAAGCGTGAGCGGAGCATGAATGGAGCGAGTCTTTTAAAGGGCGATGATGGGCAGTTTCAATAATGCTCTACGCTTCATCTGATGGCTTCAGCTAGAGGGTGCACCTGCGGAGCTGTCCGTCAACGTGCGCCTGCTCGCCCACGCTGTGTCGGTCAAGCGACCGAGCACGGACGCAAGGAATGGGGTTACGTTGTCCTTGCCCGCCATCGCTTTGGAGTTCAGCGGCTGTAGGGACCGTGCTATAAAGTTCGGTTGGAGAGATATCGCGCGATTTCGTGCGCAGTTCTCATAATCTTGGCACTCTCCACGGTCTCGTTCATGACATGGCACTCTTGGCAAATGGAACCTATGGTTTTCCCTTTTGGACCGACGGTTGTATTGAGTAGAAACTAACCGTGGCTAGAAGGCACGAGCCACCGCCCAACTAAAAGGACAAACCATATGCATCCATCGACCCATCCTTTCTTTGTCGTGTATAAATACGCAGTAGTGACTAGTGATACACGACCGCACGCCGGTACGGTGCTCATCCAGTTCGAAACGGACAGGGGTGGGGATTGAAAGCAATACTGCATAAAAGAGAAGGCCCGCGCCCCCCCCCCCCCCCCCCCTGCCCCTCATAAAAGAAGAAAGTCATCACACAGCGCTATTTTGCATCAGCATCGTCGCCGGCGCGTCTTGCAGTGTGGTATTGGCTGGAGTCGCGGAAACGCAATTCGGTGGAACAGAACGGGTCGGGTACTCACGTTGCGTTTCCAGATCCCGGGCACTGTCCCGCCCCAGCGGCTGGTAAGGAACTAGACGCACATCCGGGAGACGCGGACACCGAGCCGGCGGCCACGGAGCCCACGGGACCGGGCGCCGCCGCCACCCACTCCCTGTTGACGTAGTCCGGCTCCCCGTGGTTCCCTCCGCTCGTCTCGTATCCAGAGTCCTTGGTGAGCTTGCGGGGCGACCGCTGCTTCGGCGGCGGAGGCGCGTCCGGGATGGTCCAGGTCGAAGACCACGCCTTGTCCGCGTCCTGGGGCGCCGGGACGCAGGCGGCGTCCGCCGGGGCCGTCCCGTGCCTCTTGTCCCTGGACAGGTCTCGCTGGGAGCCCCATTCCCGGCGCAGGGACTGCCTGGACTTGGCGGTGCGGGACGCGGAGGACGACGACTCGACCAGATAGAGGGACGCCGGACGGCCCAGCCGGCACGAGGACGCCGTCGGGGTCGTAGAGGACGAGTCGTGTCTCGTGCGGCCCCGCAGGGACTGCCGCAGGGAGGACGCCTTCTGCCAGAGGGTCTCCTTCGTCGAGGGACTAGACGACGGGGAGTCGCCGCTCCTGCAGACACAAGCAAGAGAAAGAGCGACAATCAGGGTCAGTGTTCCAAACAAAAAAGAGATAAAACAAGCTTGTAACGAAAATACAACCAGTGCGCAGGTGAGCTGGTGGAACGTAACCACGATGTCTTTAACACGAGACAGACAAGAGAAAAATGTAGACAGTGGTAGGAAAAGAAACAGTGGCAGACCACGTCTCTCCCTGTTTCTTTTTCTACCACCGTCAAGAAACGTTGTATGTCCCTGTTTCGTTTTCTACCACCGTCAAAATGTCTTTCTCCTTCTCGGGTTAAGATTTATCGTGGTAAACGAGCACGTAACTCTGCGTGTCTGCGTCGCCTCCAAAGGTTGTTTCCCCGAACATCTTATTATTGTTCCCCAGCCACCGAGATTGCGATACTTGCCTATTGAAAGAACACCCAAGAACGAGCGTCAAGCGTGAACGTAATGAACATAATACGTTTCCTAAACAGTCAGTAACTATATGCACACTCCTTCAGCGCTCATCATATAGAGCCAAAAAAATGCTCAGTCTCTGCACTAAAGAGACACGTGCGAGGGGTCGAATATTCCGCGGAAGAGACCTCCCCCGCACACGTTCCGAAACAACAGCCCCAGTAGGCACAGGACAGGCAGCACGCAGAAGACCGGCTATCGGAATAGCTTGGAGTCTCTCACACCTTAAAAAAAACAGGGCGTGTCGCGGCTCGGGCATCTAATTATCGCTTCGCGGCCAATGAGATTGCTACAGCTTCGCATTTCGCGCGCTTTGATACCAATTGCCTCAGCAGGAGCGGTCCGCAGCGTTATTGGAAACATATAGGGCACCATTACGCGTCTCCAAGATTTTTCTCGCACTGGCTGCTGTCCTCAGGCCATAGCATTCGCGCGGTAGAGACTGTTGCTGCTGGGCGCTTGGTGGCGCTCACAACCAAATCAAACTAAAGCCTCTTGATACGGAAAAGTAGCGCCATCCTTTGAAGAATGCCGTCTGCTACTTGGCCCGATCCAGGCGGCACTACAGTCGATGCGCGGGTGTACAAAAGCAAAACATAAAGATAAAAGGTGTGCGCGTCAGAGGAGGAGGGAGAAGATGGCGCTACCTTTCCTATTCAGGGGCGTTAGACCAAATGATACAAAGAAATAGCCGCAAACTATCATCATCATCATCATTATCGTCGGTCTACGGAACTTAGGAGAAACGCAAAATGAGCTCCGCGCCTCTCGACGCAACACAGAACTTTGGCAAGGAAGAGGTTGATCGGAATTTTAAGGTCCATCTTTTCAAAGCGCGAAGGTGTAGAACAATTGCCTGTGCACGCAAATGAAATTCAGAAAGCTGTGCTCATGCATGATGACAACACAGCCGGCCCAAATAGTATCCGCAGGGGACAAATATAGATTCGCACTAAATCTTGCATTCTGAGGTATCATCCAGCGAAAACAGCGCAAGGAAAGAAACAGCAAATAAAAAAAAAAAAATCCGTCGTTAGTTGTTTATGCGGCAGCAGTTTAGTCTGCCAGAACACGGTGACATTGTTACCCACTGTAAATGAGCAATTTAGCCAGTGCAGTACAACTGCTAGCCTAACGTTTTTTAACGTCCATACGCGGTAGTGATACACGACCGCAAGCCGGTACGGTGTTCATCCAGACCGGAACCGGCCATAGTAAACAATACAGTTCTCAGGTGTGCATTTGTATTACGGCAACGAACGGTCACTTTTAAAGCAGTACAATTACAGCCGAAACTTCGTACTAAACCATAACAGCAGGACAGCTCAATGCAGGGAAAGATGGTCAGAGAACCAAGAGCAGCTTAAACGCAGTAGACAGACGAAGGCATATGTGCATTGTGACTCGCTTTTCTGCCTTTGTATCAGCGACAACGAGATGGCTGAAACTCGCCAAGCGCTGCGTTCCTGTGAGTGACAAAATTATCATTAGACAATGTACACTCGACTTACTGCCGCTCTTAACCGAACATTCATAATTCCAGCCCACTTATTTCAGTCCACTTCACCCTAGTTAAAAGTATTAACGATTTCGTCGGATCAAGTTCTTTGTATCCTAAGGAAAACCTCTTTAGATTCTAATTCGTGTGACGACATTCGCTTCGTTAGATTCAAAAGAGAAGTCGCATTATTCAGGTAACCTCATACACATATTAATACAATTCGGTAACGTGCAATAAAAACCGCACTAGCTCGTTTCTAGTGCCCGCCTGAAAGTAGGGCTTGCATTCAAGGTCACCACTAAACGACTCAAAGATGATCCCGCGCTCCACTGAGTTCAGCGTGTTTTCTTGTCATCTGTGAGCGCGGGTCAGTGTCGTAATCCATCTTTGCCGTGCACCAATGTGACATGGTCACGAGAGACCTATAGGCCCATTTTTCCTGATGCAAGATGTTACCAACAAAACAAATTAAAAAAAAAAAAAAAACATGTCCAAAGCGCGATCAAACTGCGACGAACAACCCGGTTAAACTGTTTTTTTTTTCCTTTTCCACTCCAGACTGGACCTATCATTCTCTCAACGCACGAGCGATGGCCTGTCCGATTGTATTTCTTCCGGCACGATAGCGGATCTGTTCTTTTAGTCGCATTGTTTTACAGTTGCCGAAGGGATGGAAAACGCGAACGCGAGCGTGTACAGGTTGAAGATGCTTCTCACTGATAGGCATTTTCCCTTCTCGGGCGGCCCGTGTGATCGTTGTTGACCTCGCGGCAAGTCCTCTCCATGTTCGGTGATGTTTCGTACCCTCTGATCCTGTTGCCAGCACTAGGATGCCTTAAGACGCGAACCTTCTCGAAATGCAAATAAACCCTTTTCAAAACCCCATCAAGTAACACTGGCGGTCGCCATTATTAGGCTAGGTGGGATGGCAGTCGCCGCCATATCTAGGCTAGATGGCGCAAGCTACCTCCCCGTTATAAAGGGTACATCCATTAGCATCTCTTCATCGATCCATTTGGCACGAAGCATGTGTTGGATCCGAGTCCTTGTAGAACGCTGACAGCGCTCGTGTCCCACCGTCGTATTGCGCGGTCGGACGCCGGATCGGACGGTTTCGTCGTACATGTGTTTCGCGCTTTAATTTCTGCAGCAGCTGCTGTAATGCGTTCGTCCCTAAGCTGAGACTACGGTGGAAGCTACAGCCATAGTTGGACGAGTCATACGCCTCTCTTTCGGCACGTGATCACGCTCTCGCCCATACCCACGCAAAGAGAGCCCGGTCAGGTGACGAAAGGGACAGGCGGTTAGAGGGTAGATAAGTTAGCAGAGTAGGCCACATGTCAAACATCTAGGCACCTTGACACGCGTAGCGTGTCAACACGTCGTGAGTCACACCACAAAACGCTTCGTCGCAAGAAAGAGGGGGTGGAAGGGGAGGACGAGGCGACGCTTCGAGAAGGCGCGGGAAAGTCTGTCTGCATACGACGGTTTCGTCGAAAAACCACAATAGAGACGCTTTTTTTTTCTATTATTATTATTTGCTCCGTAGCGTGTGATAGAGTGTCTCCCGACATGTGCTCTTAGCTTTGATTTGCACAAAGCGAATTTCGTTTTTCTCACTGTTTCTTTTGCAATTTCCTCTTACTTTGCCCGCGCATCTCATTATCGCTCCTCGACCAATCAGATTACAGCATTGGCCTATAAAAACGCCAAAAAAAAACAATTACAAACAAAATATATACAGGGTGTCACAAATGAAAATTTACACGGTCTTTTTTACCGCAAAAATAAACTAGGCATCCCCGAACGCTCATTCTCCGCCCAAAGGTAGAGCTAGAGGTCACAACCAGATGCCAAAGTTTCAGCCCGATCCGATAACTTAATCAAAAGTTATAAATGATTTTCTGAAAATTTCAATGGGAAAATGGAGCCCATTTTCGCCCGTTTTCGGTTTCTGGTGCCATAGAGCCCCATTGAAAACTCTGTCGGCCGCCATTTTCCCATTAAAATTTTCAGAAAATCATTTATAACTTTTTATTAAGTTATCGGATCGGGTTGAAACTTTGGCATCTGGTTGTGACCTCTAGCTCTACCTTTGGGCGGAGAATGAGTGTTCGGCGATGCCTAGTTTCTTTTTGCGGTAAAAAAGACCGTGTAAATTTTCTTTTGTGACACCCTGTATATATATATGATTGAACAGATTAAGACACGCTATGCGCTTTTTATACTTGAAGTAACCATAGTTCCAAACGAAATGTGTTATGGCAGTATGCTCGTACTGTTCCTACTTTTTTATGTAATTAATTCCCTTGTTCTGTATTTCTCTCCCCCCCCCCCCCCCCCCTTTTCCCATTGTGGGAGTGATTTTTCGGACGTAGCGAGGGAATGGGCGGGGTTTTAAAACCTTGACGTCAGGAGCACGTCATCACAAGTGTGTTGGTTTGTTACGCGTGATTAGATTCGACACGTGCGCTATATTCTGGCACGTGATTAGGTGTGGTGTGTAGGCGCTACCGTTTTTATCTTCGTAAGAGTTAAAAGAGTCAAATTGCGGGGTGCTGTCACTTGGAGTCACAAAACTGCGATCGCTTCAGACGCGTTGCACCGATGGATATGTTTACAGACTGTGTCGGCTATGTGCCATCAGTGCGTGAGGCTCGTTTTCCTGGCAGGCTGTAACTTCGATCGACGTTACTATTATATAGTAACTGTGACTTGCATATTCTGGTGGATGTGACTGCGCATATCTCTGCGTCGGCGCCTCGCAGTAAGCCTAGCTGTTTCCCTGCACGTTCCGTGAGACGTAACCAACTTCCTTTAATTTTGCTGCCCGTGGCCCCTACGCTCTGCCCAACATGTTGGGTAGAGCGTACGGGCAAAGGGAATGTCGTGCACGACATGCCCTTTCAGTGGACTATATGCCTATCCTAGAACATTGTAAATAAAGCCCAGTGTCTCGGAGCAGCTAAAGTTAAGCTCTTTAAAGGTGGCGAATACCTTTCATCGTCAATGTTACGTAGGCAGTGTTTGTTTCTTGCGGACAT